TAAAATCAAATTTTGCTCCAGCCGATCCATCCTGATCTAGAATATAGAATAATCATAAATATTATTTGACTCTGATTTTAATTAGGTTTGACGGGTAGAAGAATTTCCATCTAGAGTATACTTAACCGATTCTATTTTTCAATTAATTTCTCAAAGATGAAATATCTGAATCATAAAATTATTAAATATGGTATAAATTTCAAACTTAAAAAATATTAAGGTGCTGATGTTTTGTTACTTATTCACTATAACTAGTTTTAAAGAAAGAGATAAACATTAAAAAAAAATCTATATTCCGCTAAAAATATCTCAATTTAAATGATTTTTCTCCAAGAATTGGATCTTTTCATTTATTTAAAGTGAGTTTCACATAATAACTAATAAAATATCACTAAAGTAATTTTATTGGCGCCGCGAAATTACATATACAGATGATTAAAATCCTCTGTAAACACAGAAGTAATTTTCCACGTGTTATAGTAAAAAATAAAATAGTGCTAAAATCTAGAGGGTAAGGTGTCCGAATTTTTTGTTCTGGACAAGCGTTCCACGATTAGCTTGTAAGGGATAAACATGTGGTGAGCAGCGACAGCGATGGCCTCAACTACGTCCCCTTATTGATTTCTGGAGTTTGGCAATCGCAACACGTGTCCCATTCACCTACCGCCTTGCCGGCACTAAATTTCAAGCTCAAAAATGGTTCACACTAGGAGAAGCCGAAAGTGCAGCAAGCAGACAGTTTTGCACCTCCAATGCGCTCCTTTTTCCGTCGATGGAGCCTCATTTTCGCCTGTCAGAAAATCAGCCAGTGGCCGGGTTCGGTTCACACGGCAACCCTGAACCCTTATAAAAGTGTGTAGAAAACACCGAGATAAAAACAAAGAGGATAGGAGAATGGAAGCCAGCGAAGATCTTCTGGCACGAGAAATCCACTTCCAATTAAAATTAAAAAAATATTTCCTGTCAATTTCAATCTTTGCAGGGAACCCAAATTCCATATCGAGAGTTTAATGACGGCTTGGCAGTCCAACGCCGCCTTATTAATTAGATATTACTCGTGTCACCCTTTAGCATTTCATTACTGTAACATAATAATACAAAAATTGTAATTAATAGAAGGGTAGTGTTCATGTATCCATGTATTTTTTATTTCAGGAGTATAAAAAATTATTTTGAAATTATTTTAAATATATATATATTTTATTTTTTAAACCAGACATGTTTCTATTTTTACTATTTCCATTTCTTATGTTGTGTTCTTTGAATTTTAATAATTTCCTTTTTTTTATTGTAGTGAGACATGACACTATTTTAAAATTTTATTTTTAATGAAGAAATAAAAAAAATAAAAAAACTATTCATCTATAAAAAAAATTAGCAACACAGCACGGATAACTAAACTAGTTCTTAACAAAATTTAGATGGCAAGTCATCACGGCAATTTTTTTTTATTTTTAATATGAGAAAAATGGATAAAGCAACCGAAAGGAAGCGGCATTTACGTAAATAAAAACAAACCACACACCTCTCTATCCTCGTTAATTTTCACCCTGAACAGAGTGACTGTTGCAAGCACCCAGTGAACAGAGAGCCTCTACTATGTTAAACTCTCCCTCCGCAGACAACTATAAATTCCGAAACTTTTGACTCTTTTCTCACTCTCTCTCTCACACATTTTTCTCCTTTACAAACGTATCAGTTCACGACTCTCGCTTCTCTCTCTCTCCCCCCCTCTCTCTCTACATGTACATATACTGCAATTAGCGGCAGAGTTCATCGCGCTGGTTGCAATGGAGCTCTCAAGCAGGACGATGAAGCTTTTTCTGCTTTCGATTTTTCTATTACAGGCGAGGATTTTTTTTAATGTTTTTTTCCCCACACATTCCCTTGATTTTCCCCCTTCTTCTTAAACGTGTCCGTTTGAAGAAGATTCTGTTTTTTTTTTTTAAAAAAAATTTTAGAGTTCGATTTTTGTTTTGTAAGGGTTTCATTTCTTTTCCTCTGGTTTTTTTTTTAGAAAATTATAATTACTATAATTTGTTTGATTTTTTTTTTTTGCTTTTGATTTTCACATTACGTGTCCTCATAGTGAGTGTGAGGACTAGCATTTCTATAGTCTCCAGTTTCTAAGAACTTAAGGACTGAATTGCACTTTTTGACGAGTTTTGGTACTGAATTTGAAATTTATGAATATGCAGGTGTTTTATGCAGTATCTATAGTCAGCGCGGAGAGGTCTGATGCACGGTCGCTTAAGACACGAAATGCAGTATCAGGGTGAGATTTTTTTCTTTCCTTTTTTTTTAATTTTTTTTATTGTAATTAAAATAAAATAGCTTGGATTCTATTTATTTTTGAAATGATTTTCAGGGAGATACATTCACAGGAATATTGTGCAATGTATGATATTTGTGGTGCACGTGAAGATGGAAAAGTCGTGAACTGTCCTTTTAGCTCCCCATCTGTGAAGGTATCTGGGTTTTTTTTTTTTAATTTTTTTTTTTCATTTTAAAAACTTGGATGCTGCATTTTGCTATAGTTCCTGAATATGCCAGTACGTGCTTCTTCTTCTTTTTTCTATTTATTTATCAGCCAGATGACTTGCTTTCACAAAAGATTCAAAGCCTATGCCCTACAATCACTGGCAATGTTTGTTGTTCAGAAGCTCAGTTTGAAACTTTACGGTCACAAGTCCAGCAAGTAAGAAGACTTTCCGGCAACAAGATTGAGTACATGTACACATGTTTGAGAAGCTTTTTAAGTGTTTTATTTATGTTTTGCAGGCAATTCCATTTCTGGTCGGCTGTCCTGCATGTTTGAGAAACTTTTTGAATTTGTTCTGTGAGCTTACCTGTTCCCCGCATCAGAGCATGTTTATTAACGTGACTTCTACGGATAAGGTTTGCAGTTCCTACTGTTTTGGTTGGATTTCTAAAGAGATTTTAGCGTTCTCGTATTATCACGAGCAAGAAAAATTCCAATGTGTTGAATCTGTTATGCGAATTAGCCAATAAATCAATGTCTTGCATCTTAGTTCTATTGCTTATCGCATAATAACATGTTGTGAATTTTAAAAAGGAAACGCTTTGCTGTAGCCTATTCTGAGTATTGTGTTTTTGATTGAACTGATGGTTGTTGGAGTTCTTCTTGGAACTTGACACATCATTCTTTTTGCTGAAGAGAGTAATTTTATTTAAGGTGTCTTATTCTCTTTTCAGGTTAAAGGCAATTTGACCGTGAGTGGCATTGATTTTTATGTATATGATTCTTTTGGTGAAGGGTTGTATGAATCTTGCAAGGATGTAAAGTTTGGGACCATGAATAGTCGGGCTCTAAATTTTATTGGTGCTGGTGCTAAAAATTTCACAGGTGATTTTTTACTTTAAAGCCGTAGCTTAAGATTCTTCTCCCTCATCTCTCTAGTCTCTTCTCTCTGTCTCTCTATCTCCTAAACATGATGAGGGCGTCGTCGTACGTACAAAGCGAACTCAAAATTTCTACTGTACCCATGATCTTAAAGTGGGTGATGATTTTGGGTTTGAAGACTTTGCTGGAAGTTAGGCTTGAAGTGGAGAAATGGGGGTCTATCTCAGAATGAATTTCTATCCGAGGAAGAATTTCTTTTGGATGAGTTTTTTCTCCATGTCATGCTTCTGTTCCTTGGAAGTTTCAGAGCTCTACTCCTTGACTTATTGCTTCTGTTTTATGCATGATTTTCTATGTTTTTGTATGACTTATAGTGCTTATGCCATGAATTATTTTCGGCAGAGTGGTATGCATTTATTGGTAGACGAGCACCCCTTAATGTGCCGGGCTCACCATATGCTATGACATTCAAGCCTTCTGCTCCTGAGTCATCTGGAATGAAACCCATGAATGTTTCTACATATTCATGTGGTGATATTTCACTGGGTTGTTCTTGTGGTGATTGTCCTCAATCTCCTGTTTGTGCAAATACTGATCCTCCTCCACATCACGAGGGGGCTTCTTGTGCGGTGAGAATTGGATCTCTCAAGGTGAGGTATCATGCAGAAGATAACTTTTGAATTTTTCCTTTTCCACTGATTTACTTGTTTGGTTTGGATGCACAGTAATGACATTCCTCGATTTTGTCACGTAAAGTATTTTTATGTTTTGCTAATTCATTTTCACTGTTCACCATTTTACTTCTGCAGGCCAAATGTGTCGACTTTATTCTAACAATCCTCTATGTTATATTGGTTTCCATCTTTTTGGGATGGGGCTTGTTTCATCGAAAAAGAGAAAGGGACCAGAGTTCTAGAATGAATCCAGTGTCGAATATCAAGGACAGTGGTGAAGTTACTGGGAAGAAGGATGAGAACGTTACCATGCAGGTGCCTCCGGATTCTAACCTATTCTTATCTAGTGGTTTTGTAGCTCTTTCTTTTTGACCTTAATCTGATCAGTGAAAAGGTCTGCTCAATTCATTGGCCAATGTTTCTGAATTCTTTTAACTACTTTTATAAGATGCTTGAAGATTCTCCTCAAACCGGAAGCAGGGTTCAGCTTTCAATTGTTCAAGGATACATGTCGAAGTTCTACAGGTCGACCAAGTTTGCTATTAATGCTATCAGAGTAACTGAATTATTTTTGACCTTTTTGGTTTGTTTATATTTCAGGTGTTATGGAACATGGGTTGCTAGAAACCCAATCCTTGTGTTGATCTTGTCGTTGGCTGTAATTCTTTTACTTTGTCTAGGTCTCATCCGTTTCAAGGTGGAGACACGGCCTGAGAAGGTAGAATTGAACATACAAATCGCTTCTTTATCTTCTCTGTTTAAATCCCAGAGAAAGGGGGTGTTTTTGTTTTTTAACCATTCTACAGTTTTTACTAATATTTTGTCCCAACAAAGTCTTGATGCTAGAATTAACAAAATTGATGAATATTTCTGGAAAGAATTAGAGGAGGTCAATGAATCCATTGAAATGAATATGAGAAACTAATGTGCATTTGGAAGTGACAGATTGGGGGCAATATTCTTCTTTGGGAGAGTGGACATTATTTCCTGGAGAAGTCATAAAAAAATATCTTATCTATTATGCATTTAGTTGCTTAGTTGACCATGATTCAAATTCTGGGCAATTGGTCTAATAGAGTATTCATTATTATACTCTTATTAGTGCTACATTTCTCCATATGTCATCAAACTGCTAATACGTGTACTATTTCAGCTATGGGTAGGGCCTGGGAGTAAAGTTGCGGAAGAGAAAAGGTTTTTTGACACCCACCTAGCCCCCTTTTACAGAATTGAGCAGGTCCTGCAGTATTCTACTCATGTTTCTTATAGTTTTTGCTCCCTGTCTTGTTTTCTTGTGCTCTTATTTTGGTCTTTACAAATATACTCTTTGAGATGCTGGTTCTAGAGATTGAAAACTAGTTTCCCGTTAGTTATCACCAGCAGAACAATTTTTCTCTCCTTTTCTTCTCTGTATCAAGCGAACCAACTTACATTGGCTATGCCTTTCCTTTTCATCACAAAAATTTGCCATGAAAGTGACTGCAAATAGATCGACAGCATCAATCATCACACCACTAAATGCTGTATTTATCATTATAATTTGCATGCATGTGGACTGTCATACCTGCATTATGTGATCGTTGCCCTTTTCTTTTCAATGTTTGAGCACAGAAAGACCACTTTGCATTATTCTGACTGCTTTTTTGATACATGATTTCTGATGATAAAAATTTACTTGCACATCGTTTTGTTTACTTGATTTGGAATAGTTTTGCATATTCATAGCTGCAGGATTTTTAGTCCTCTTCCAATTCTGGGAAGAACTAACGGTGACATGTTTTCCAGCTAATTCTAGCGACTGTTCCAGAAGCTGGGGCACAGAAAAGACCAAGTATTGTGACAGAAAACAACATCAAATTACTTTTTGAAATACAAAAAAAGGTATTCATTTGTGTGGTGCCACTTCCCAGACTTTTTTGGGAACAGATTGTTGCATGCATCACCATGTATCAATCGAGTTTTCATTTGCTGTTCTATTATATTATTTTTTCCATTTTCTTATTGGAAAAGGGTGATCTGAAATGTCATAGATTAATAGCATTCTGCTCTGACAGGTTGATGGAATCCATGCAAATCATTCTGGAACAATGATATCTCTGACTGATATTTGCTTGAAGCCACTGGACAAAGATTGTGCTACTCAGAGTTTACTGCAGGTTTTTTTATTGCTTGACGATCTTTATTGTCGATATGCAACAAAATGCTTAAAACTATGTAAAAACGAATTTGTTCCACTCCAAGTTAGTGGTAACAATTTTAATAGGACTTTAGGAGTTCCTTATAAGGCTTTCCACTGTCCAGTTGCATGATTTTGCAACAATGGAAGATGAATCTAGGGGTATTTATTTTGATTTTGACCAGTCACTAACTCTCTCTCTCTCTCTCTCTCACCCCATCCCCCCCTTCCCATCAGTATTTCCAAATGGATCCTCAAAATCTCGATAATTATGGAGGAGTTGAGCACGTGAACTATTGTCTCCAGGTACATCTTCTCAGTCTCAGGTTTTAATAATTCTCAAAGTCATGTCTTCCTCTCCCACTCCCTATCTCAGGTCCAAGAATTCTCTCTGTCTGATTATTATGATGATACCATGTTATTTCAGCATTATTCCTCTGCAGACACATGTCGGAGTGCCTTCAAAGCTCCCCTTGATCCAAGCACAGCCTTGGGAGGTTTCTCTGGGAACAATTATTCGGAGGTATTTTTTTCTTTCCTCATAAATAGCAATCCAAGTGGATCATATGTCTATAACAATCCTCCAACCACTTCTCTGTGACAGGCATCTGCATTTATTGTAACTTATCCAGTAAATAATGTGATTGATAAAGAAGGGAATGAAACTGATAAGGTGGTTGCTTGGGAGAAGGCTTTTATTCAGTTAGTGAAGGTTTGTTTTCTGTCTCAGTCCAGTGATTGTGTATATGGTGTCTGGAACAGAAATGTATCTCCATTTTCAGATAACATCTTCACCGAAATGTTTTTCATGGTTGTTAAAATTTGTTGACATGAACAATATGAAGAGAAGGGAGAAATAAGATAACACAGAAGCAGCTTCGCTGTTGGAGCAACAGACCATCCTACTTAGGACCCAGTTTCCATTTGTTAAAAGTAGAAATCCGAATCTTTTGCTTTTAATTAAGCTATGAATCAGGGCTAAGATGTAGGAATCCACTATCAAACATAAAAGAAAACAAAAGGGCTGCAGATATCAAAATGAGTGAAAGATATTAGATCTGATCCAAACCGTTTGTGCCTTTTTCTTCAAATTGGATCTGCTGCAAGCAGCAAGTGCTATCCTGAATACTTGACTGCTTAGTAACATATATCTGCTTCATCATTTCTGTTGTTAATCATTGGAGGTTTACTGCTTCATTTTCTCTAAATCATTTCGTGTTTTTCATGGGACAGAATGAATTATTGCCAATGGTGCAATCTAAGAATCTCACTCTTTCTTTTTCTTCGGAAAGCTCCATTGAGGAGGAACTAAAAAGAGAAAGCACTGCTGATGTCATAACTATATTGGTGAGCTTTTTTCTTGTTTAAGAAAAAAAAGACATTTCCATTTTAAAGTTATGGAGAAAACAGGATGTCAATTCAAGCATGATTGAGCCACTTCGTGTAATGTTTCAGGAGTGTGTTGGATGTCACTTATTTTGTTTAATTGTTGACGCTTCTTCCATTTCAGATTAGCTATCTTGTGATGTTTGCCTACATCTCTCTTACTTTGGGTGACACTCCTCATTTATCTTCGTTTTACATTTCATCTAAGGTATGTCCTTTTACTGGCTTGAACTTTGCCCTTTCCCTGGGTAGAACCTCTATTCCATTCCGAACTACTTATTGTATTCCATGAATGCTAGGTTTTCCGCATGAAATATTCATATTTTCTTTTAACTTTCCCCTTTCCCTCATTCAGTTTTTGTGATTGGTTGACTTACAGGTATTGCTTGGTCTTTCTGGAGTTATGCTTGTCATGTTGTCTGTTCTTGGATCTGTTGGATTTTTTAGTGCCATTGGAGTGAAGTCTACACTAATCATCATGGAAGTCATTCCTTTTCTTGTATTAGCTGTAAGTTTCCTTCTTGTTATTTCAGACTTCATGTGGTATTTGTCATTTTGCCTACATTAATTGTTGAGGGCGAGTTTTTAATAGGTTGCTTCAATTCTGACTAGCTATTTAGCTATTTTGCCCCTAGACTACATACATCTTTTGTTGAAATGGTTCATGGATAAAAAAGAAAGGACTAGTTGCCATTCCACCTGCTCAACTCAGCAATTGACTTGGGCTGGATAAAAAAGAAAGTGACACAAATGCTTGCAAATGCAAAGGCATGATTTGTAATAATATGAAACTATAAAGTCATCTATCGATTGACTCTATTTGTTTTATTTCTTGAGATTTAGCATAACTCTTTGGAGAATTCTTCAGATGTTTCATGCATATAACCTTTCTTGCATGCTGACCGACCATTATACTAGTCTTGAGGCTCTTAGTAAATATTATATTTATTTATTTCAATTTTTTTTTTTAATTTGAATGTTAGTATTAGATCAAATATTCTTCTATTTAATCTAGGTTAATTTCCAAAGCTAATTTTGACTAGTTTTTTGTAAGTATTGCTATAGCTTATATAATTAACTTTATCATATCAGGTTGGGGTGGATAACATGTGCATATTGGTGCATGCTGTCAAGAGGCAACCAATGGAGTTGCCGCTAGAGGGACGGATAAGCAATGCTCTTGTGGAAGTTGGACCATCCATCACACTTGCTAGTCTATCCGAGGTTTTAGCATTTGCAGTTGGAAGTTTCATTCCTATGCCAGCATGCCGTGTGTTCTCTATGTTCGCTGGTCAGATAATTTAATCCCTTTTGTTATACACAAGTTAATTTTTTTATTTCAACTCTTCTTTTTAAGATTGTAACACCATTTTATGCCATGCCTCTTTTGCAGCACTTGCTGTTCTTTTGGACTTTCTTTTGCAAGTTACTGCCTTTGTAGCTTTCATAGTTTTTGATTTTTTGCGAGCTGAGGATAAGAGAATTGATTGCTTTCCATGTCGGAAAATCTCATCTTCATCTGCAGACTCTGATAAAGGTAGTGTTCGGAGGTTGTTTATAACTCATATTTGACTTGATGGATTACCTCATTTGCCACTTGGTTTTGTCAACTGCTTTATTTTGTTCCTTAATGTAAACTTGAGGTGGTCTCTTATTGAAAAATGCAATGTGAATGTTTAGGTATTGGTGGGAGAAGACCTGGATTGCTGGCTCGCTATATGAAGGTGCTGATTTGTATTAATGAATTTTTCATAGAAATATATTTTCAAATGCTAATATGGTTATGCTATATGTTTGCAACTGCATCATATGCACCTGTGATTCTGATTTAGATTCATGGTACTCTGGTTTAAGATTCTTGAGAGTTTTATGCCTGATGAGGTGCTTCTTTTCTTTATAGAAGAAACAGTGTGTTTCTGCTGAACATTATTCACTAATCAAATTGACATTCTTGTCATTATTAGGAGATCCACGCACCCATACTCAGTCTTTGGGGAGTTAAGATATTTGTCATTGCCATCTTTGCTGCTTTCACATTGTCCAGCATAGTGAGATGCTCGATATTACTCTTTACACATTCATACCTACTGTAGGTGCCTGTTACATGTCTTACTCTAACTTGTCATAAATATATGGATCATATAGGCATTATCCACTCGAGTTCAACCTGGTTTAGAACAAAAAATTGTTCTTCCGCGAGACTCATATCTTCAGGTTCAATTTCTTGATACTGGTTTACAACTTGCTATGTGTGTGTGTGTGTGTATATGGATATGGTGTTCTATTGGCTGGGGAGTTTATCATGCAAGCCTTTTTTCCTGCAGGGCTATTTTAATAATGTCTCAGAGTATCTCAGAATTGGTCCGCCACTATATTTTGTAGTGAAGAACTACAACTATAGGTAATTCCAGTGCTTCTTTTTTGCATATTCCTTTCATTGCTGAGATCTTCAACTGATGCTACTGCACTCCACAGCTCAGAATCAAGTCAGACAAATCAGCTGTGCTCCATCAGCCACTGCAATTCAAACTCTCTTTTAAATGAGGCAAATCTTTCTAATCTAATGAACATCACTCTGTTATTTACTCCTTGTGGGCATTAATTATTGGAATGGTTGTTTTTCCTTTGACAAGAATCTTTTGTTGCCTTGCTTCTGCAGATTGCAAGAGCATCCTTAACACCAGAATCTAGCTATATAGCTATGCCAGCTGCTTCATGGCTTGATGATTTTCTTGTATGGATATCTCCTGAAGCTTTTGGCTGCTGTAGGAAGTTCACAAATGGGACTTATTGCCCCCCTGATGATCAGGTCGTTTTCTAATCTTTAACAAAAGCTGGCTTTTATTCTGGCATGGAATTTTGTGCACATTGGGCCCTACTATTATAGTCACATGGCTGCTCCTGCCTATGCAGTTCATACGATCATTGTGTAATATTCTCCTTATGCTGTGGCTTAAAATTAAAGTGAAAGTCCATTAAATGGTAGATCAAATTAAAACTGTGAGACTTAATTAAACTGGTAATGACACACCCAGAGTTCAATATGAGACCAATTGCAAGCTCCTGCTGGTGATTATAGCAATTGATTACCAGCCTGAGCATCCATGGTAATTATGGGGATATTGTCATGATAACCTACCTTTTCATTTTCTGCTCTTATTTCTATTGCTTCCCATTGGTGTCATTATTTATTCTCATTAATAATGCTGAAGCTGACTTCCTTTTTCCTGTTTTTCCCAGTCTCCTTGTTGTTCATCTGATACAGGTTCATGTGGTCTTGGTGGGATATGCAAAGATTGTACTACTGTAATCCTCATTCTTTTCTTCTTGAAATTTTATGAAACAATTTGCTGCCCATTTTCCTTTGAAATATTTTGTTCTTGACTGTCATTTATATCAAGTCAGTAGCATCTATCATTTCTTATTTGTAGCTAGATCAATTACTAACATTTGGAATTTTTCAGTGCTTCCGTCACTCAGATTTGAATAATGATCGTCCATCTACATCTCAGTTCAAGGAGAAACTCCCATGGTTCCTCAATGCTTTGCCCTCTGCTGACTGTGCCAAAGGCGGCCATGGTGCTTACACTAGCAGTATAGATCTACAAGGTTTGCTGAGTTGGACATTTGTTCTTTCAATCCAGTTTGATAAATCTTAGGGAAAGTCACGCTCACATATGCATGCTTTAAAATAGTTTGTCTGCATGCCTTATGGTGGCTTGTTTTTTGAATGCGAATAAACTCCTCAACCCCTTTCTCTCCTTATCAGGCTATGAGAATGGTGTTATTGAAGCATCATCCTTCCGTACATATCATACACCTCTTAACAAGCAGGTAGGTAGTATGTTCTAATGTTAAAATTTGCTCAATGTGATATGTTTCTTGTTTCTGTTTGAAAACATTAACATCTATTTTAGATTGACTATGTCAATTCAATGAGGGCTGCTCGAGAGTTCAGTTCAAGGGCTTCTGATTCTTTGAAGGTAAAATATCAGCGATAGTGATTACTGCATGGTCAGACTGATGTTATCTTTTTTAAATAAATTATCAAGGTCAGATTTTCTAGTCTTGTCTTTCCCCTATGCTAGGAAGCCAACTCTTGTTGCTACTTTGCTCATCAAAGGACTGATTCTTTATGAATTTATTTACGACCTCCTACCTTAACATTAAAGAAGAATAGTTTTACCTGTTCATCCCATGTTCACTGTTGTTTGCAGACGGCATGGCCCATAGTTGGCTGTACACTAGAAAGGCTGTCTCTTAAATGACGTTTGTTATCCTGTGCAGATGGAGATCTTCCCATACTCTGTATTTTATATGTTTTTTGAACAATACCTTGATATATGGAGGACTGCATTGATCAACCTCGCCATAGCAATTGGTCAGTAACCCCTTAGAAATTCAGAATTTGAACTGACATCATCTTATTTTCTGTGGAGTTCATCAATTACATGCTTGGGTTTTTTTCATCTCATTTTCTTGTGTTCTTGATGATAAAGCTGTCTTTTTTTTTTTTTTTCATGAATTGCTTCTTTTTTTCACTGAGAAGCTAAGCTTTTATTAACATGTTCTTCAATACTTGTAATCAGCAAAAATTCAGGCCTTTCAAAACTGAAGAGATTGTTTTGTCGATTTTTACTGCTTATGTCTATATCATTAATCATTTAATGATATCTCACCGTGGTCTGAGTAAAAAATTTACCTATGCAAATTTGCACTGTCAACCTTTATTGTTAATTGTTCTTCAAATGAAGTTTTGGTTTAACATAACTGGTCATTTTCCCTTCCATAAAACCTAAACTGGTTGGTTTTATTTCCTGATGTACCAGGAGCGGTATTTGTTGTTTGCTTGGTCATCACTTGCAGGTAGGTGTCCTATTTGCCAATATTCACCTTTTCCTTCACCCAAAAATACTGGCTTCAGTGTTCGGTTCTTTCCAAATGAACTGAACTGCTGTATTGGAGAATGACTTCATGATTACTTTGTTTCTTAACTTTCTTTGAAATGTAGTTTGTGGAGTTCTGCTATCATTTTGCTGGTGTTGGTAATGATAGTCGTGGATCTCATGGTAACTCTGCTTCCTTTATCAATATCTACGTATTTTTCATTTTATTTGTAACAATTAACCTGTTCTGCCCATAGTATAATCCCTCTGCTTACAAGATTAAACTCCACAGGGCGTGATGGCAATTCTGAACATTCAACTGAATGCAGTCTCTGTTGTCAACCTTGTCATGTCAGTGGGCATTGGTGTTGAGTTCTGTGTACATTTAACACATGCTTTCTCGGTTAGCATCACATCATTCTCCATTTTCTTTATATATCTTCTCTACTTTCTTCTGATAAGTCACTGCCAATTCTGTTCCTCCGATGGAACTTCAAGTTCATTCTCTTCTATTCCATTCAGTTAAAAGATGAATAGATGGAATCTGCATTTGGTTATTTTGGCTTAGTAGTGGTTGTTTACTAATGCAACTAGAGAAATGGTTTTCCTTCTGAATCTGGGAACTTTAATCTTTCAGCTCTAAGGTTATTATTGGTGCAATACTATACCTTTTCCTTTGGCTGCATGTTCTTACTCTTTTCTTAAACAGGTGAGTAGTGGCGACAGAGACCAAAGAGTCAGGGACGCTCTGGGTACAATGGGAGCTTCTGTCTTCAGGTTCTTTTTTTTTTTCTGTGGCTCATGTCATGAACTAGATTTTGCTGAGACCTCTGGGCAACTCACTCTGTTGATACAAATTATAGAATATTTTGATTGACACCTCCTTTATATTAGACTCCGTTCATCTTAGCTATTAATTATCACATGCAAGCCACTTGTTTTCCTAAAAAATCACCTAAGAATCATCAAAAAGTGAAAAAAGAAAAAGAAAACAGGACTTGATTTGTTATCAATTTTATCATATTGTAAATCAAAAAATCATCTTAACTCAATAACTTAAACAATTAGGTTGGTTTCTAAGATATGATTTAATATTATTCTCTAACATAAATGATATTATAGTTACAATATTGGGTGGTTGATTATTTTTTTAATTAATTTTTGATGATTTTTTATTTTATAAGAAAACATGTGTAATTCAGGTATTATTTTAAATAATTTTGATGCAGCCGCCCTTTTTCCATGAGATACACCATGAAAGAACTAAATTAAAAATAGAAAGGCAAGAAAGGGAAATATAAAAACACGTCTTTTGCACCCCATCAATGCATACATCACTGCAGATGTGATTTTGAGCTCAAATCACGTACCTTTATTTCCATGTGGAATTCTGTATTAATTGCAATTATCTTGTTGAAAAATTGTCTGCAATGTAATTTTGCAGTGGCATCACATTAACAAAACTCGTTGGCGTGATTGTTCTTTGCTTCTCAAGAACAGAAGTTTTTGTGGTCAGTGTTTCTCCACTCGAATACCCATCAAATGAAGCAATATTTTTCTGTTTATTTACCACCGTCCTCTCGTGCTCTGCAGGTTTATTACTTCCAAATGTACCTTGCACTGGTCCTCCTTGGTTTCTTACATGGGTTGGTGTTCTTACCGGTAAGTTTATCGCGCTTTTCAAAACCTCTCCTTCCACTTAAATATTGTTTGTTACTGTGTTTCAAAAATGTTTTTGAAAAAAATTAATTTTTTTTATTTTGATTTTGAATTAATATATTTTTGATATTTTCAAATCATTTTGATGTGCTGATTTTAAAAATAATTTTTAAAAAATAAAAAAAATATTATTGACATACTTTTCTAAATGAAAAGTACTTTAAAAAACAACAATAACCATATTTACCATATCTTGGATTTAGTGGTTCAGTAGCAATCTCCATATTTAGAGGGAAAACAAATCCATCAATCAGTAAAATGTTGTCTCAACTCTTAGGAACCAAACTTCAGGGGAAGCTGAGGTTTTTTATTTTGCCTTCAATATAGATCAATTTGTAAATTCTCATCTCCTTTTCTCACCGAATCATATTGAAAACATTGTGCGGATCAACTGTTCGCAGGTTGTATTAAGCATGTTTGGCCCCCCTTCAAGGTGTAAACTTGTCGAGAAGCAAGAAGACCGGCCATCGGTTTCCTTGCGGCCTTGAGAAGCTGTATTGCTGTATCATAGTTCTTTTTGGCAGGCTAATCAATATTTTCTTTTTTCTTTTCTTCGAGATACTAAGTTAAGTATAGAATTAGTGAAGCAAAGATGCTCAAATGGCAATCCTGAAATATGTAAAGTACGGTGTGTTTTTCCAAAAGGAAGAAAATCATTCAGCTACAAGGTTGTCAGATTTGCCTGTTTTCTTTTCAAGCACGCTTCGGCTGTTGATTCCAATTGCTTGTACTTCATTTGGGCTAAAGCCATCTCGGCCTAGTAATAAAAACCAGATTTCTGGGTTAAAAGTAAAAATGGGAGAGAAATCCACAAGAAATATTTTTCATAATATACCTTGAATTGCAACAAGACTTGGGTTGCGGATGGGAGAATTCAAAAAAATATTTTTTTTGTTCTTTGATTCAGATTGATCCAGTCTTGGGTCAACCACGTCCAAGCCAATCCCGATTTTAAAACAATCAAAGTGGGTCTGGGTTTTAAAACAATAATAATGATAAGAAAATACCCCGGAGATTTAGTTCTGGTGAGGAAGAAGAATGGTACATTTCTGACGAGGAACAGGGGATATCTGATATACCGAAGAGAATATCTGAAAACATACGCAAGTTCATCAACTTCTCTTACAAAGGCTCCCAACCAGGCCATGCATGGAACTCCAACCCTAGCAAAAACACAGGCTTCCACTAATTTCATTGCATAGCTTTTCTTCTATACAGATCATGACGGAGAACTTCGTATTCCTGTTTGTGGAATCGTTCTGATCTATCATGCTCAAATCTTTATGTCCATCAGAAAGAATTTAACATCGAATGGCAATGCCATGGACTACATGGAGGATTGAGAAGATCAAGACAGCCCACTGCTGTGCGAAGACCTCCCTAAAGGACGAGGAGAAACTTCGAGCAAGAGTTTAATTGTCTGGTTACCAGATGAACCGCATATAGCAATACACTCCTCCAAATCATCATCACATGTCAATAAGACCCACTCAGAATCATCATCCAAGTACTTCAGATCAAATCTATGTATGTCATCTATGTTAAACCGTCTTACGATCTCTTGCAATAGATCCTTGAATCCCCATTTGTTTGACATGCGGAGCCGAATTATCTCATTTCCATACGTGACTTTCAATCTGTGAGCATCCGTTTCTTGAGACAACCGGCTACTATCTTTAGACAAGGGCGGAATGCTCCCCAGTTCCGCAAGAGTTTTATGACTCTGGGATCTTGGCATTATCTCCTGTTCTCCTGGACTTGATGCATGGAGCTCCACATTGCTTTGGACCATCTTCAAAACACCATTGCCTGAGTTTTCTCCAGACACAGGATCTTCACTAGCAGCAATTGCCCCACTGGAACAGCTATGGCTTGAACTGGAACTCAGACTACATGAAGGTGAAGGTGATTTTGGTGCAGTAACTTGGGAGCTGAAAGTACCTCCTTCAGGCTGCATGCCTAATGGTTTTGGATGACTGCTTGGCTTTAAAGTTGATAGTGGACTAGTTCTGGACAAAGTTGGCGAGGCAAGCTCAGGGAAATTTTTATAAAAGGAATCAATCTGAACAGTGCCAGAGGCACCTTCAACTGAGTCAATAACACGTTGGAGTTTCTTTAAGGAGTGGCCAACCTTCTTGATTTTTCGAGAAGGCCAGCGGTTAATTCCATGTTGCCTGCATATTCTTTTCAACGTAGTGGGGCAAACTGAAATTTGTTGAAAAAGCAGGTAAGATGTCAAAACAAAGACAAATTCAACTCTGCAAAGCTAGAGGGTAATAAGAAATGTGTCATCAGTACTGTATGGGGGAGGGAATTTGTTCCAGAGTACTGTCATACATGTAACAATGCAAATGAAGGGTGGACAAATGCAAATTACTTGGTGGCACACCAGTCACACAAAATGTGAAAACCAAGAGACATTTACTGTAAATAAGAAAATAAAATATTCTATAATGGAATAAAGCTTACCACCAATACTCTTCGCAGCATCCTTTAAGCTGCCAGCAAAATATTGCCGAAGAACTTGCAAGGTGATTGTTTTTTCTGCTTTGGCACGTCTTTTTTCTCCTGTTTTAGACGTGCCAGCACTTGAAAAGCTACCTTCAGCAGAAGTAGACTCTCTGCCACATTTAATACTCTCTCTAAAGCTATAATCTTCTCGATTTTCCCTGTTCTCATTGGATTTTTCACGCAGCATTACCTTTTGTTTGTCTTTTTGGGATAAAGAGTTGTTACTTCCACTTGGTTGGACCTCTGAGAGACAGGCAGTCCAGGGTGAATTATCTCTACCATGCCTTTCTGAACAAGGCTCTTTAACTGTTGATGCCTCTTCTCCACTAGATCTACCATCCGAAGGTACTAACACTTCACTGAATGGCAAATCAGTTTCCTCCACTAGTTCTTTGTCTGTTACTACCCGTAAAGTATGGCTAACACGCTGTATAATGGCGGACAGTGAATTAAGCATCTTCTTCTGCTCTTGAGGATCCCTGCAATTGACAGGCAAGAAGAACTCCAGGACAAAGTCTGTTGTACCAGTGTAAATGCTTCGCAAGCGAATTGCAACAGCGGCACACAGTCCAAACATCCTTGCATGGTGAGAAAGAGGATACTCAGTGTTGCCATATGAAGTTACGTCACCTGAGAAGCAGGGTTGGTTAGTCATAAAGGCTTGCCCAGCAACTCCTTGACCCTTTAGCAAGTGATGCTCTGAGCACGCCTCTTGAAAACCCTGGATAGCAGAATCAGCTACACAGCAAGCATCATCCACAGTAGAAACACATCGATAATAATTCTCGTTGGAATGCCGGCAACCTCCCTTGCCTTGTTGGGTACATGGGACCCAAGTTTGAGCTAAGGGCAATCCGTGTGTCTCACAGGCAGCTCTCAGAAGCTTTTGAATCTCGGGTAATGCAGCTTGGTAGGACATATTACATGCCTGGTGAAAGGAAAAAATCCCACTATGACCTCAAAAATACATAGAGAACTTAAAGAGTAACAATTTTCTTCTGCTATCTTTCTTGTTTTACCTGTAAGTTCTGTATGCTTGGAACTTCAGAACTCCTAAGATCAACAGTCTGCAAGTTAAAAAAGCTTATTATAAACACAAGTTTGAGTGCACTGCTAACATACTTCTGAATTTGGACATTGCACATTTTGAACACAAGGTTCTATCTGAAGTGAACATGTGAGCAATTGTTGTTTACAAATTGAAAACAAGAAGCCATAGCTGAACAAAAATAAGTAACCTCAAAAATGAAATCACTTGACAACAAAGCACTACCAAGTAAAATATACAGAAAAGTTGAAATTTGATTATTGATCCTGCTAAGTTACTAAAATCAAGCTCCCACTTCAAGGTTTAAATGTCAAAACTATAGGCAATCAATGCTTGAAAAAGGACTCTTATTTGGGACCTAGTACCTAAATCTTAGCTTGTAAGACTTTCTGGCCCTGTGATTAGAATTTGAAAGGGTTCCAATCACACCTAGAGTGGGAGGCTTAGGTGAGGGAGCGGGATACTCGTTTAGCCTTGTAACTGTGTCAAGAAACAAAAGGTAAAAAAAAATGTAAGCATCCTGAAGGGCACCACCTTCACATTTTCTGGCAGAGCAAAATAAAGATTCAAGACCAAAAGGAAGCTGTATGTCACACCCCTCTCCTAATTACTATGATAATGCATCTTAGTTAAGTGTCTTTGATTATTTTCACTTTAGAATCTTAGTTTACTTAGCAAAGTAAACCAAGCTTTTTAGTTACTTTTTATTGCTATATTGTCAATCAATTTACCAATCAAACATGCATTTATAAGTTTACACAACCTGCTGTCCATCACACAAACTTACATGACATCTTTTTATCTCATCTAGTTCATTCACATATATTCTATAGCTTTGTACATAGATGTTCTATTTAGCAATGACACATTAAAAGTGTCGATACATGATATGTTACATATGAATTTATATGTGTAATGCCTCATACACAAAAACTAACCTATGAAAGATACAATAGCACTAAGAAAAAATTACTTAAGTTACACTTCAAGCTAGGATTCCAATGACACTTCTGTTGGTAACCTATCACCCAAGCCCTCTTTTATTCTCACTTTGATTCTCTGAAAATTGTTTATCAATTATTGATGAGATAAACCCCGTGAATGATTAAAGAAATAAGCATGGAAAACTTCACAAGTTTTCAACATTTAGGCACAACATCATATTGACATGATGTTCGCACAAGTTAACATGTATGACAATGCAATGTCCATATCTCACATATACTACCTCAATGGCAGTATATGTAGCATGTAGGTGGCCACTTTCATGTAAAGCAAGTTTTCCTCTTTTCACATGTCATGTGCTATTACATCAACAAAACATTTGGGCGGAAAACACATCCTTCACTTTAATAGAACACATCATAGTTCAACCTTTCACGATCATACTCTTATTTAGAAACTATCATATGAAGTTTCCATTCAAACTTAGGTCATATATATATATTCTGAAAATTCAGCAAGCATTTAAAGAAATTCTGCATACATAAAAATACCTACATCAATAGGATTTCTACATGTTAATTTAATCACTCACCTTAAACTTTAGCCCTTTTTCCTCTACTTTCTCTTTCTTTCTTTTTCTCTTCTTTCTTTTCTAACCTCACAATATATCTTTGGTTTTCTTTCTAACAATTCTATTGAATTTGGGCTCTAATACTCCACAATTTGTTTTTGGAATATATGGTTTAGTAGTGTTAGTTTGTAGGATGGTGTTTAGCTCTCTCTTAGGTTCAAGAAATGGAAGAAAGAGACGGAAAAGACGTAGTTGATACTGAAAACTTTGAAGGAGAGCACATCTCTACCTTCCTTTTGACATCTCACAAGCATGGCATGCCAAAACTTGTCCTACTTCACTCATATGACAGCAAAATTGTCATACTCCACCAACTTGGTCATTGGCCAACTTCACCAACTTTATCATGCAAAATCCATGCCACTTCTTCTACTTAAGTTGGTAATTGCATTTTGAACCTTCTTTTCTTTAGTTCTTTGGCTTTTGGCTCCTAATTTTCTCTAATCTTACTTTATTCTAAAGTAATCATCAATGATAGTAAACGCAGATTTAGGGGTGTTACACTGTATATTTTGAGTATATCTTTTCCACTGAGCTTCAGATATGTGCATATATGCAGGCCATATGGATGCCAGATTCTAGTGATTGGACATCAAGATTTTAGATAGCTTGTGAATCAAAAATTGAGGGCTTTCATCAATCAATTTAACATTCATCCTGGTGTTAGTTTATTAACACTCCTCAATGACGTGCTTTTCAATGCTGAAATACCTGAACTTTTAAACTGAGATGCAGAGAGAATCGTTCTGAAAATGGAAAACAAACCTCAAGAGCCTTGCAAACACTTTCAAGCTCGGGACGGTACTTGATCTTTTGTGAAGTGGTCACCACCTCAATAACACCCAAGCAAGTCCGGCTACCTTGTTCAAAAACAGGAAGGGCAAGAGTTCCACGTACATCATACAGCTGAGCGTGATTCACTCGTGGGTATTCATCACTTCTAAAGAATCGAACATCAGGAGTCCACTCAGGAACTTTACCCAAGAAAACCCGACCAGGCAAGCCAACTGAGTCCTTGGAATCCTCCTCAGCAGAAAATTGATATTTAACGGATATGTCTCTGTAACTCGCCAGTTTCTCACTGCTGGGATCAAGTGAAAAAGGTTGGTCATGGGTTGTAAGAACACGTCTACCTCCTCTATTAACAGGGACCCATATTTGTATAAGGACATCTTTATTTTTCGTTAAGTCCTTAATGCACTCCAATGCCTTAATTAATCTCCTCTTCACAGAAGTTTCGACACTTGGATTCGGAGAAGGTCCTATCCACCATCTTTTTCCAAGTTCAGAGCCATCAGTTGCATTGTCATCCCGTCCAGCTACAGAAAACGCAGTCTCACCAGCCGGACTTCTGGCTTGGATATCACTCAGAGTAGAATTCCCTGGCAACATTGATATCTGGTTATCTTCTTGATTGCCCTTTTGGGATGGACTAGAGGCTGAATCACCTTGGTTAATCTCTGGAGTGGGCCACATAAATGAAGAATCAAAAAAGGCAGCAGAATTGGACAGACTAGGATTAAGAAACTCAGATCCATCTGTTGTTTCTAACCAGCATCCTTCTAACAACAGTTCATCCATGTAGTCGAAATCCATAACTGAGACTGAATCAACCGTTGCGCCCAGCATCGTACCCGGTGATAAACCACCATCTTCCATCACGATCTTTTCTCAAAATCAAAACCAGAAGTACTGAAAAAGCTCAGCTTTTTGCATCAGATGACAGGGATCTCTAGGAAAAATTCAAGTCTTGAAGCCTTCGAAAGCCAACAACCTGTCCGTATTACTGAAACGCAATCAGCATAATAGAACACAGCAACCAACATAAAAACAACAAGTTCACGGGATGCAGGAAATCTCTATCCTATTTTACTTTGTCTGGAGAATGGAAAGGAAGGTTTCTACAAAAGCACCAGAGGTTTCTCATTTCATTTTTGCAATCTAAAGATGACCAAAGAAGCAAAAATCAAAAAAGATTATACATCAATACTTGCAAGCAACTAACACCAAGGTCAACCGAAGAATAAAAACCTTATTCGAAAACCACCATATCCATCGAAGCAGCATTATATTCTTGGTTTAAATTCCAAAGAGACCAAAAAATACAAAAAAAAATACAAACCCACTTTCCACAGATTCCTACTATATGATAGATAGAATAACAGCTTTCTCACTTTTGATTCAAGGTCCTCGATTTACCCACAAGAGATTAAAGAAACAGTGATAGTAATTCACAATCTCAAACTAATTCAGTAATCACCTCCAAAACAAGAACAGAAATGGGAAAAAAAAAAAGGAAGAAGAAGGAAACGAAGGGTTTATAGCTCACTCACTATCAAAGATTCTTGAAGATATCCTCAAAGGGTACTTTCCTTTTCTATTATACTCTATTTTATGTCTGTGAAGCAAGAAACATTCACAAAAGCTTGACCCTCATGAAAACCTCCTCCACCTGAAAATTACACAGCCCATCCCTCTCTCACACACACAGTAAGAATCTGTGACCTTTTAGCCTCTTGATTCCTTATTATTGTGCTTAAAGATTCTGCCGCTCTTCATGAGTGACCCCACATCACCAAACTCATCATATTGGGGGCCTTGAAACTCTCGCTGTTAGAGCAAGAAGTCAACTGTTTAAGGCCATATCATCGAACTACAGTAGACAAAGAGAGCCAAAATCTTCAACTTGATGCTGTAGTATTTTTTAAGTAAAAAACAAGTAAAAAAAAAATAGTATAACTGGAATCTGATATCTTCAAAGTTGCTAAAATGGGTATTCCATTTTTGCTAAAATTATTACTCAAATGTTTATTCATGGTTGTAATAATCGAGGAAGTGGGGACTTGGGGTTGTTTGACCCTTTGTCTTTTTGTTTAACGTTAACTGTCAACGTTTTTTCAGCTAAGTGTTTCTGTAATGATAATTGATTTGAATCATTCAAGATACGTGGCTTGAACGCTTCCTGGGATCGCTGAAAAGTTATTTAATCCGGGTTCATATTCGAGTCAGAGTTAGGTAAGAGTTACATCGGTTATTTTAAGTAAATTAAAATTATTTTATTTTATTTTCTTAAAAATAAAGTTAAAACAATTTTATTTAGAAAAATCAAAGTTAAATTTGAATCCATGTGTGTGTGAGAGATTGAGATTTTACCCAATCAACTTTAATTATATTTTCTTAAAACATGATCAGAATTAGATTTGAAATCAAATTAGATCTTAGATTAATCTCTCAAGCAAATCAAATTTAATAACTTATTGTATAATTAAAATCAAATTGACTTTTAATCTAATTTTAATAAAAATTATGAGTTTATCACATTTAATTTTCTTAAAATCAGACTAGAATCAGATCTGAAATCAAACTAAATCTTACATCAGCCCAACAAATAAGAGCAGGTTTAATATCACCATTTGGTATAGTTTATGGTAAATGAGTATGTTCGTCGTTCTAGAGAGATCCTTGTATGGGCTAATCACTAGTAAGAAACGCTATTTTTTTATTTTTTTAATGTTTATTTAACAGATCAGAGTTCATTTCCCTCACCCATGTTCAAAGTCTACGTAACAAAGACAATTGGACAGGGATTTTCTTTTTCTTTTTTTCAAAAAAAAAGCAGAACTATATATATATATATTTTATTATCAAGAGATAACCCTCTTCTGGTACATATTAATCAAATAAATTATAATCACTGAAACTCAAATTTATTTTACCAAAAGACATATAATGATTAAATTATATTGTTTTTTATATTAATTTATTTTAAAGTCAAACTCGATTTAAAATATTATATTATCATTCACACAAACAAATAATGAATATATATTTAATAATGTTGTGTATTATATATTTTAAAAAATATTTTTCGATTGAAATTATATTTTTTTATACAGCACATCACAAACATTAAAATATTTAATATTTTTTCAGGTTAAAAATAATTTGACACGTATGTTTGGTGTTAATAAAGAATAATTCTTTAAAAAAATTAATTAAAAAAAGATTTTAATTGTTTTTAGTTATTAATATCATAAAAATATAAAAATACATGTTTTACATTTTTCTTGGAAAGAGCAATTTTAAAAGGATGAGAATTCAGAATTGCATAGCCGCCTCGGCTTTTGAGCTCGGCTCATGGGAGTCCAATTGAGATTGTACTCCTCGGCGAGAAAGATTTCTACGCTCGTGACTTAGCAGCTCAAATCGATTGAATGTGTGCAGGTGAGCGAAAGAAAAGCATAAGCAAGTTGTTTGAAACAAAATCTACACTCAACTTCAAGAAAAAAAGCCATCATGAGCATGAAAACAGCAAGCAAAAATGGGAACTGCGAACCACACAGCAGGTTAGAATTTTAAATAAAGCCAGGAGGGCACCCTATCTTTCTGACACGTGCATTCCTATCTTCTTCTTCTTTTTTTTTTTTTTAATTTACGTGGGGTGTTCGGGTCAGCTTGAGCGCACCACGACTAATCCCCACGGTTCACTAAATATCCTACAAACCCAATAAACATATAAGACACCGCGAAGATGACAGAGATACACACCAAAACTCGAATCCATAACAGTGAAAAAAGCATCACTAGACCAAGCACTAGACCAAGCACTAGAATGCTTAGTCATCATAAGAGATGGGTTTTATTGCTTAGTCATCATAAGAGATGGCAGAGCCGGCTAGAGAAAGTGATGAATTCTTATGGCGTATGATGAAGAGTTAGGCATGACGATCGAGTTTGGGTGGGCAAACATAAAAAAGATACGAGTTTTGGTGTTGAATCCTGTAAACAGTAGCAGGAGTTGAGACATGAGAGTAACATAAGGAAGATGACTTGTAGCCCAAGGTTACCAAAGTAACCTCGGACTTTTGAAACCTAGGAAGTAAAAACTTTTTTTTCTTTTTTGAGTTCGGACATGGTGACAATATGTTTGTAGAAATTTTCCGGGTTAGAAAGAGGTACAGTGATTTTAAATCACAAGAAAAAAAATTTAGAAGATAATTGAGAGTAAGGTAAAGATAGTTGTTTTAAAATGTTTTTTATTTAAAAATATATTAAAATAATTATTTAAAAAAAGTAGTGAACAACACTCCTTGCTAATAGATGATGTGTTACATAATTTTTGTAAATTTTGGTATTTAAAGGTTGTTAAAAAACTAGGAATTCAGTTTTTTCAACTAAGAACTCATTCTAACCTATGTTTTACCTAAAATATTCAAAAAATAACATAAATATCTTAATAAATGTATTTATAACTACAAAATCTAAAAAAAACTAAAAAATCAAAATCAATCTGAAACTAAATTTATTCTAGCAATTAGATCTATCTCCTCAAGTAAGAAGAAAAAAAACACTTAGATCCAACTTTTCTTAAAATTTATTAACATAAAAATCAATTATTTTTATGGTCATAATTATTAATAATAATATATTTTTCTTTACATTGTATTCGATAAGCCCTCCTTTCTCTCCTAAAAAAATTAAAAAAATTAAAAATTGATATTAAAATTAAATTTTTAAAAACTAAAAAAATCAGTTATTTAATAATTAAAAGAGAAAATAAACTTTTCAATTGAAATTCTAAAAAGCCATCAATTTTATATGTTTTTTGCATTTTAATTCTTTATCTTTTAATACAATCTTTTTAAAAAAAAAAAATGTAATTGAATATTAATTTGAACTTAACTGTGTAAAGAAAAAATTCAATAAAAAATTATTATTTTAATTTATAATAACTCGTGAGAAAATAAACAATGAAGAACTATTATGAAAAAACGACGAGGCTTAGTTTCTGTTAATAAAATTATATATTATTGGGGGAAAAAAAGAAAAAAAAGGATGACATATTAAAATCTTAGATTCATAATTAGTTCCCTGTAGGTGATGTGATTCTTGAAAATGATTTTTGGCGAGACATGGTTTTTACCTTTGGACGGGGCGGCGGCATCCATACGCGGATGCATTGCCATCCTTTCGTCATTTGGTGGACCCTAATCAACTGCAAGTTTATGTTTTTTAAAACTCAACCAGGGCTGGAATCAGGTGGAATCGGGTTAATCTAATAAATTATAATCACTGAATCTCGTATTTATTTTAACAAAAGATATTTTTTTAAGTTTGTCTACTCATTCATTTTAAAGTCAAACTCAATTTAAAACATGATATTATAATGTTATTTAGACAAATGAATATTAAATGCGCGTTTGATGTTGTGCATTATATTTTTTTAAATGAAATTATATTAAAATAATTTTTTATCTTTTAACTTTTATTTCTTATATCAATGCATCACAAACATTAAAAACCCCTAGAAAAACATTAATTTAATACCTTTTCAAGTCAAAAATAACTTGACACTTATGTTTAGTATTGAGATGGATATTAATTTTTAAAAGTGTTTTTTAATTAAAAATACATTAAGATAAAAAAATACAATTTTTTAGTTTTTAATATCATCCAAATATATATATATATATATATAACATGTTTTTTCTTGGTAAAAAACAATTTGAAAAGTAGATATCAATTTAAAAAGCAAAAGCAGGTTGCGACAAAAGAAGGATGAGAATTGCATAGCTTCGGCTTTTAAGCTCAGCCCATGGGAGTGGAGCGTGTAACAAGACAATTGAGATTGTACTCCTCGGCAAGAAAGATTTCTACGCTCGTGACATAGCAACTCAAATCGATTGAATGTGTGCAGGTGAGGGAAAGAAAAGAACAAGCAAGTTGTTTGAAACAAAATCTACATTCAACTTCAAGAAAAAAACCACCAAGAGTATGAACAGCAAGAAAAAAAAATGAGAACTGCAAATCACACAGCAGATTAGAATTTTACATAAAGCCTGAAGAGCACACAGTTTGCATTTATTAGAGAAGAATGTTTGTTCAAGAGTAGAAGTCACTCATAACATGCAAGTTTGATTCACTATTACGGCACAGCACAACTAGCAAAGATAGAATTTGATCTTCTGCTTGCAATCCGCAATCCCCTTTTCATTTACTCAGTTTCTGCAACTCGAAATATTGAGCTTTGGTGTCCTCTTCAAATGCTTGGTCTCACGTTGAGACGAGATGCTAGCTTCTGACCCAAAGATTTATCAGCCTGCATAGCATCATTGCCAGTAATGGATTTAGAATCAAAACATTTATATGCAATCCAGTATGAACATGACACTGCATAATTCCAAATGGGTCTTACCTGAGACCAGTACGAGATCCAGATGCTGCGAATCTCATGTGTGACGCGTGGGTCAGATAAGGCATCGACCCATCTGCAAACAAATCGTTCTTGCCTGTACAAAAAGATGGGGGGAAGAAAAGATAAGGAAAGAGCATGAAGGATCAGTCATATACTTAATTTGATCATTGTGAAGTACTCGCAGAACTATGGTTTACCTGTCTGGTGCCCAGGATCGGTATCTCTCTCCAGGTTGCTTGAAGTTGTTCTCCTTCTCTATGATGCACTGCAATAACCAGCAAAGGCTGATAAATTATGTTCTAATAAATATATCTCCGATCATGTAAACAGCCCATCCATTTAACCCACAGCTCTATAGGATCATACAATAGCTTTCCAATCCCACTAGTCCTATTATTGCTCTGAAAAACGTAACAAGAACCCCAGACTCACACACACAAGAACACTAGACAATTCTGTTTTAGCATTGGACCCAAAAAAATAGGACAGAAGAGGAAAAAAACTTACCTTCTCACGCTTTCCACTGCAGACAGCTGGAGGAATGGGGAAACTCTCAGCATGGCGAACTGGATCATACCTCGATGGGAAATAGTTGAC